CGCCTTCCTTCTCAACGTGGGAACTGAGTGTAACTGAAAACCAATGTCAGAGTGTGTGGTCCGATGGGTGTTTCCACGTGACTTTTGGAGAAAGTCTCATACGAAACGCTCGTTTTGCAGACTTTGACATGTGAGTTTTTGAGGAAGTCTCCTACGAAACGCTCGTTTTGGAGACTTGACGTGTGACTTTTGGAGGAAGTCTCGTACGAAACGCTCGTTTTGGAGACTTACGTGTGACTTTTGGGATTTGCGCGTCCTTGGAGGGAAGTGTGTTTGCGCGGCGCCGTGCCTCTGGGGAGTCGGGAGCGCGAAACATGCTGGTGTAAACGCGGCGTTGCGCTGCTGAGCGGAATGATTTGTGGTATCATGTGATATGTTTGCTTCTAGTGTATGGGCAGACCGTGTGGCGAAATTACGTTCATGATGTCGCAGTGCCATGTGGATTTGCGCGGCCTTGGTGGGAAGTGCGCTTGCGTGGCGCCGTGCCACTGGGGAGCGCGAAACATTCTGGTGTAAACGCGGCGTGTCGCTGGTGAGCGGGATGATTGGCGGTATCATGTGATATGTTTGGTTTTAGTGGGTTTTGTCGCCGGTCAGGCGCAACGTCAATGAAGCCATTTCACTGACCACTGACTCGCAGGAATGGTTAGTTTTAATTTGTGGCTCAAGAGTACAAAAGCTGCTATCCGGTTTCATTGTTCCAACTCCTAGGCTAGGGCCGGGCTTGTAATGGCTGCACCGTCCTTAGCTTTGGTGAAATATTTGGTAGGATGTGCCAGCATCGAAGGGGAGCGTCTGGAACAGTTGAGGGAGGTGTGCCGCAGCATCCTTGGAGCTTGTGGGACTCCAATTTTTTTGACGAGCATTGAGGTTGCTTGGGTGCACATTACCATGGCTCAGATTGTGTTGGCCAAGCCTGAGTCTAGCACTTCTACTTCTGGCGCGGAGGTCCAGGAGCGGCGGACGCCTCTGACTCTGGCGGACTTGCCCCAGATTGACGTACAAGGGCTGCTCCTTCCAGACAAAACGGCACTTTGTTTCTTCTCAAGAGACTGCCTCATGCCCATATTTTGAAGCCAGAGATCACCATGGCTTTTGTCACCGTTACGGACCTGATTCAGCAACTGAACGCTGAAGCCAAGATGATCAATGATTGGTTTGAATGATGCTGATCAAGCACGTATTCAGAAGACCATGTGTGATTGGAATTATCTCCGGCAGCTGGCGTTGTTTGTGCTGTAATGACCGGCAGTGGCGGCTGCTTACAGGAACGTTATTGCGGACTTGAAAATTGGGTTTCAATCAGTAGTTGCACCTAGTGATTTGTAAGTTCATACTATGAAAGTTGGTGTGTCTTCTGTTTGGTTCTTCGATTGTGTAACTTCTCCTTTGTGTCACCGGTGGAGGCCTACCACTAGGATGGACAAATCTGCAACCTGGCTCTGTGAGCAAGCCCGACGTGGATGCATTGTGGCCGAAGGCTCGGCGCGCAGAAGCTCCAAAAGTTTTTAATTGGAACTGTCCCAGCCAGGCTGAACATGGACGTGCTATTCCATCAGTTTCGCTGTTTAGTGGAATCGGTGCACCGTGTGGCGAAATTACGTTCATGATGTCGCAGTGCCATGTGGATTTGCGCGGCTTTGGTGGGAAGTGCGTTTGCGTGGCGCCATGCCCCTGGGGAGCGCGAAACATGCTGGTGTAAACGCGGCGTCATGTGCTATGTTTGCTTCTAGTGGGCATGCGGATTTGCACGGCCTTGGTGGGAAGTGCGTTTGCGTGCCGCCGTGGCGCAGCATGCTGGTGTAAACGCGGCGTGTCGCTGGTGAGCGACAAGAGTGTCCTAGAAGAGTGTCCCACAAGAGTGTCTCGTAAGCGTGTCCCACAACAAGAGTGTCCCACGAGAGTGTCCCATAAGAGTGTCCCACAAGAGTTTCCTACAAGAGTGTCCCGAAAGAGTGTCCTACAAGAGTGTCCCGTAAGAGTGACCCACAAGAGTGTCCTACAAGAGCGTCCCACAAGATTGACCCGCAAGAGTGTCCCAGAAGACTGTGTCCACAAGAGTGTCCTACAAGAGTGTCTCACAAGAGTGTTCCACACAAGAGTGTCCCATAAGAGCGTCCCACAAGAGTGTCCTACAAGAGTGTCCCACAAGAGTGTCTTTCAAGAGTGTCCTACAAGAGTGTCCCACAAGAGTGTCCGACAAGAGTGTCCCACAAGAGTGTCCTACAAGAGTGACCTGCAAGAGTGTCCTACAAGAGTGTCCCACAAGAGTGGCCTACAAGAGTGTCCCACAAGAGTTTCCTAGAAGAGTGTCCTACAAGAGTGACCCACAAGAGTGTCTTTTGGACATATGTAGCTTTTCGAACGTGTTTGCATTCGGGTTCGTGGGCTCCATCTTGCAGGTTTTGATCTATTTTTATCTAAAGAACTGCTAGTAAGCTACCTGAACCTACCTTCAACCTGTACACGGTCTTCTCCATCCAGTTTATCACAAGATTTGATTGGTTCTTCCCTCCCTTTTGCAAGCTCTGCACCTGACGCCCCCAACACAATAAAAACATGAAATCGATGGCAATCTCATAAAGTTGCTGAGGGGCAGCAAAACAACCAACATGAACAGTGTCCAAAACTGTTTGTTTGCTCCAGTGCTTACTGATCTTAAGCCAGCAACGCCTACAACCATCCTTATCATCCCAACAATGGACGGGGTGGGTCAAAGAGAAATTGCTGATCAGTTCTTCTCGGGTGGCTTCAGCCGGCCTGAATTGTGGGCCCAAGAATTCAGAAACCTCTTCCTGGAAGCAAAGCTTCACGGCACTAACTAACCTCTGCAAAACTCTGTACTGCCGACGATCTATCTCATTCAGTCGTGAAACCCTATGGTCTGAAATATTAAGTTCACTCAGTGATTTTGTTGCTTCCTTTGCTTCCTCATCTGCCCATACATTGCCTTTCCAATGCCAAAAGGGGTTTCCTGGATGTTCGACTTGGTATTGGTCCCACGTGAGGTGGGCCCGCCCCCAGTAGACTCTAATGTTGCGGGAGGCCATTGCTTGCCTGATGGGGATCCAGAGGACTGGGTGACTTTTAATCCGCGTTGAAGGCTTTCTCTTGATTTCGCGGAAGAATTTCCATACTCCTTTGCAATCTGTGTGTATGCTGACTGCCCCTTCTGTGTGTAGGAGCACTTGGTGTATGGCAAACAACTCTGCTCGATAGACTGTTTGTGTCCTGCTAGAACAGCTTGCTTCTCTAGTCCTTCAGGGCCAACCTTGCTTGCAACAGCCCAATCCACCGCTACGCCTAGGGTCAAGAACTTTGCCACCTGACCCATCAGTGTTCAAGACGTAGCTGTCTCCACCGTTTGCCTTGACCTGCCCACAAGCCTTCAGCCTTTGAATGGGGTTGGAGCTCCTCAGGGGGTATGCTTACCCACTGGCTAGGGCCAATCCTCTGGTTCTGGCGACAGCTGCTGCTGGACATGTTGGCATTCCCAAGGCCTGTGTTTGAGACTGTCTGGCTGCTGACATCTGGGGCATGGTTTATCTTGTTTAGTATGCTCAGCCGTGAAAAGGGCTCTTGCTACTAAGGCACACCCCTTTAAGCTCTTGCTACTTGTTACATATATATATAATATATATATATATATATACACCAGGAGTCACAAAGGGGGTGGTTTAAGCGAGTGGATAATGGGCACCCCAAACCTCCATTAAGAACCCCCCATTTGTGACTGCTGGTATATATACATAACAAAATCCAACTGATCTATCTATAAAACAAACATCACGACGAGGAGGAACCCCATGGTCGTCACAGGGACGGCACTTTGTTTGATTCTTCACCTTCTACTGGCGGTCGAAGCCAGTAGCCTACAAGGACAGGACATCACAGGAGATCAAAGGAGGACTCCTTTTTTTGGGGTGGGGTGTGGCTTTTTGTTTGCCTGTGACCAGTGTTTGGTTTCCATGTTTCATGATGTTTCATGCCTTGTGTCCAGTTCGATGATATGTTTGCTCCACTGAAGTAAAGGATGTTCCTGAACTTGGGTCACTTATATAAAGACCATGTTTACAATTTTAGAATAAACTCCCAGGATCCTGGCAATGTGTTTGTTGACATTCCGTGGTCTCGCACAGGTCGGTGTCTCTGAAAAACAAATAAAAGGACCGGATAACCCCACATGATAAGTTTTACAAATTCCAAATGTATATGAACATCATATGGGAGACGGAGTAGTGAGATGAAAAGTCAAGAACGAAGTGTGAGGAGAGAAGGTATATGAGGCGGTTGTGCTAAGACGTGTAGTGTGAGTGATGATGTGATGGACGAGGATGAGAAGGAGGGGAGGGAGGAGGTGTGTGTGTGGTAAGATGGCGTGCGTGTGTGTGGGTGTGTGATAAAGTGTCTGATGATGTGATGAACAAGGATGAGAGGGACGAGAGAGAGAGAGAGAGAGAAGGAGGCGGAGAGAGAAGTTTGGAGGCTCTGGATTTTGCGATCAGATCCGCATGAGACCTTCACAGATGTTGGCCAGATCCGCATCAGATCCGCAAATGCAATCGGCATTTCACAGATGTTGAAAAGAAACATGTCATGAAAACATGTAAGTAAGTGAGTCAAAACATGTCTGCTGCAACCACGTGAGTTTTTGTGATGACAACCATTGCCAGAGAACTTTCAAAACAAGATTCAGAACGGTCGCGCAGGCTAAACTAGAGAACTGCAAATCACAATGGCAGTAGCGCAGCGACAGGCTTCACCAACACCCTCGCCGCAGCATTTACAATGCGATTCGCAGGCATTGATTGCCCTGGCTGTGCAAATCACAATGGCAGTAGCGCACAAACACACTCTGCCAACTTCCGTGCCGCAGCCATTACAATGCGATTCCGAACCAGTGAGAACCCTTGCTGTGGAAATCACAATGGCAGTAGCGCACAGACTGCGGAGAGAGCCGGGCCCCCAGCGGCGACAACGCGCGCCGCAGC